CCCAACACACCCCTGAACTCTGTGTTGACAGAGCTTCCCCTACTGGGTAACAAGCTCCCCCAGGACATGCACGTCATTTTGAACCCACATTTGAATGTCTCAGGGGCAACTTGATCCATTTCTAGACCTTAATATGCTAACGTGTTATTTTGGGAATGAGTGTGTTTCTCCAAAAATTTCACTTATTTTAAGAAAGAGTCTCACCCTGACCTCCGACTGCTTACTAATAGGAGATCTAGTTGAGTTTGAAATCCCTATTGCAAAAGTGGTTCTCATTATAACGTCCAGTTTGATAAATGGTGACAATTGAATAGCATATTTTTACAAACATCACCAGTCCTTGTGAAATACTTATTTTAGATATCTTTAAAGGAAGTCCCAGGCCCTGAGAGGAACCCCTCCGCAGCATCCTGTGCACCTGCTCTGGGGCAGCAGCCTGTGCTGGGTGTGTCCTGAGTGCCCCCTGCAGCCCAGTCCCAGCTCTGCAGGGATGTTTCTCTCTCATCAGAATATATTCCCACCAGTGCCTCTAGCCCAGTATGAATTGGCTGTGCCCTGGCTCGGAATTCTCCTTTATTGATGCGATATGCCTCTCACAGCATCTTTTGGAATATTGAATTGGCCTTAGGAAACCAGCGAACTCTGCAGGGAGACTCCAAGAAAAGATCTCCTGCATCACCAGGGAGCCCTTTCCTGGAGCTCAAGAGGCACTGAATCATTAGACACATGGTGAATCTGAAAACTCTTCTGGAGTTTGTGGCAGACTCCTATTTCCTTTAGGGTCCTGCAGTTTGTTATTACATCTGAGGATACCTCCAGGTGCAAGTGCTGTGGCTAGAAGCCCACTCCAAATCTGCTATTCAAATCACACACGAACCTGCACACATTTACACACACACACACACACACACACACACACACATCGTGGCAAATTTTTACATTAATGGGTCCCATGGTTTCCCTCTTTGTCTGGTATCCATCTCACGGAAAGCACTCCCTACACTGACACTAAGGCTGAGTATGTGTCTACTTTCTGCAAACAGAAGTAAAGAAAACAGAACACAGGTGGAGACTTGGGAAGAGCATGCACATTGAATTCACCTGGTCTCACTCTGGAACCCTGCAGTTGCCCCATGAAAAGTAAATTTGAGGCCCTCGAGGGTGACATAATTTCCTTGGTGCCGAAGTTGCTGGTGTCAGAGGCTTCAAATTGCTCTATTTTCCTTAACCATTTTTTCTCCTATTTTCCTCCTGAGAAAGAGTTTGTGCATCACCACACTTTCATATTTAATCTGTATTGACTAAACTGGTAAGAACATAATGTGTGGAACGCGGAAGCATTACATGTTCTTACTGCTGAATTTTAATGCTGTAGTGGTCTTCTTTCCCTGGGCTGTGACCGATACAGGAAGTCTCCAGGTGTAAAGCTGACTTTTGCTCTTTTCTGGCTGAAACATCACAGGAAATTTTTCTTAAATTTATACCTATTGGCTAATTTTACCCATTTTCATGATAGAGGAAGATTGCTGACATGGGCTTGTAATGGTGATGAATTGCCTTTCCACAGATAGATCCAAAAATGCCCTTGCCCTGGTTTGTCTGTCTCTAGACAGTCTGGGTGTATTTATTAGATATTTGGTTTTCAGGTAATAGAGGCATGCAGGGATCTATGCGGATTCTCACCCTGAGAACCTGGAGTTTCCTGGAGGAAAGGGCCATGAGAGTATGGGGGGTGGGGCTCCCAGGATCTCTCACCCTCATGCTAGTCCTGACATGAGCTTTATGTTCATTTAGTTCAGAATTTCATATAACAAATCACACAGCCAGGCTCATTTAAATTATCCATACTCAGGCCATATTGGAGCAGCAGCTGAGTATAACAATCACATTGAACTCAGACAAACCTGGGCCCAATTCACTTATTTCTGTAGCTCAGAGCAGCTTTACTGACTCACTTAAGTTGGAGATTTTTCTTCCCTGAAATAACTCTAAGGGCTGCTGTGGAGCCTATGTGGGGTTGGATTTTTTGTGTCAGCGTGTCATGCAGGGAATTCTGAATGATGTAGACGTTTATACTTAGATGGTAAGTGCAAACAACTAGTGTTGTGGACATGGCTGGCAGCCCTCAATCCTGTTTCTTTCTTCTGTTCACCTAAGTGTCTACAAGAATCCCATGAACCTCAGGACTCTCTCCTTCATGGATGGCTCTGAAGATTGTCAATCAACTCAGCATCTCAAACAAAGGGACCTAAAGGCAGATTCTCAGTTAACTTGTATGTGGGGTCAGCAACAAAGGACACATCCACAAATGAACCATTTTTATTAATGCCAATGAATATTAAATGCAGGAGTCATGATTTTCAGTAAATTAGAGTGTAAAATTTACGTGATTATTGGTAGTGAGGTCTCAAACTTAATTGTTTGCAGAAAAAATGAGCTTGTCATGGTTAGACAGATGTTTCTTTGCCTGGGAAGATAGTCTTCTAAACTAAAGCACCTGAGAGGTGTTTTTCTGAATTCTTGTGAAAATTTATCTATTGGGGAAAAAGAATCAGGACCACTGGTCTCAAATAATTTAAAGAAACCTTATGAGAAAGTTTTCTCACACAACCATGAAATTCCAGTTAGTCAATTTTTTGGTTCATATCTTAAAACTAAAGAAGCAATTAAGAAATCTGCACAATTGAAAGCCTAATCCAACAGAGATAATTTTTCCTGCTTGAAAAATACACCTGTATTCATAGACACTCTCCCATGAGATCTGCAACTTACACAGATTTCTGTAACCTGAAGAAATTTCTCTAAGAGAATTATCCTCTAGACATCTATGTATGCAAAAATGCATTGTGTATATTTGTGTATGATTAATCTGTACAAGCCCTTGGCATATTAAACTTTACGTATAGGTGATAACTTCCTCACTTACTGTGCACTCACACTTTACTGGCCTCAAAAGTTCATCACCCTTGTGATGGAGCAATGCGTGCCTTTGTTAACAGCCTGTTGCTTCAAGTGAACACGTTCTACGTAGTCACTTGACTTCATGGTTTCATATTTAGTACCTGAATGTCTGTAACTTAAAACCCAATATTTTTATCCAACAGATTCTCCTCTTGTGAAATCATCCTGAAACTTGCCAACAACCTCCATCATACATGCTTCCAATCATTTGCTTTTAAGGAAATAAGAGGCAAATTCATAATCCATCCTTGTGTTAAGGTGAGAAACCTTCCTGGACTTCCATCATATTTATTAGAAACTCTCACTGAGAGGCATAATCAAACATTATTTGTTTATAGATCATACCTCAAGCCTGAAACTGTTTTTCATAATGGCTATCCCATTCTACATTTCCACAATTATGGAAAGCAGTATAAAGGCTCTTAAATGAATTAAAACCAAAAATATTACATGACCAGGAATCCTGTTTTGGGGAGTATTTCACATAGTGATATCCCTTCTGTACTAAAATATAAAAGTTAACCAGGTGTGGTGGCACATGCCTGTTTTTCCAGCTACTCGAGAGACTGAGACAGGAGAATCACTTGAAGCCGGGAAGTGGAGGTTGCAGTGAGCCAAGATCATGCCATAAGTCTCCAATTTCTTATAGTACCAGAAAACGAAAAAGGGCTCCAAAACAAGGAATGACTCCTTTTGCATTTTTCTTTTTTGTTGGTAAATCTAGCTAGCCGTCTATCAATTCTGTTCATATTTTCTTTTTTCTTTTTATTTTTATAGAATCAAAGTGCCCTTGTACAGTTTTGTAACATGAATGTATTTCGTAAAGGTGAGGTTTGGGCTTCTGGTGTGGCTATTGCCCAACAGCAAACATTGGCACTAGGAGGTAATTTTCTAACCCTCACTCCTCTTTCCTGCCCTCTTTTGCAGTCCCCAGTGTCAATTGTTTTTATCTATGTACATATGCACCCATTGTTTACATTCCAATTATAAGAGAGAATGTATTTTTCATTTTTTTTCAGAGTTGTTTTATTTAGGATAATGTCTTTAGCTCTATTCATGTTGCTGTGAAAGACACAATTTCACTTTTATGGCTGCATAGTATTCCATGATTTGCCTATATCATATTTTATCTATCTAATGGTCCACTGATATATACTTAGATAGATTACTTGACTGTCCTATTGAAAATAGTGTTGCAATAAGCACTGGCGTGCAGGTAACATTTTCTGATATAAAACTTTGCTTTTGTGAGGAACATACCCACTGGGTGGTATTCCTGGGACAAATGGCAATTCTAATTTCAGTTCCTTAAGAAAGCTCTGTATTGTTTTGCATAGAGGTTGTATGAATTTACATTCTCACTAAGCATATGTAAGCATTATTTTTCCTATGTATCTCTGCCAAAACCTGCTGTTTTTATTTGTAATAACAGCCGTTCTGACTGGTGGAAGATGCCATATCATATTGTTTCTAATTTACATTTATCAGATGATTGGTGATGCTTAGTATACTTTTTATTTGTTTTAGCCACTTCTGTGTCTTCCTTTAAGAAATGTCTGTTTTTTCCTATTACTTAATAAAGTTATATGTTATTTCTAGGTGACTTACCTGAGTTATTGTAGATTCTGTATATTAACCCTTTGCAAGATGAATAGTTTGCATATATATTTACCATTTGCAGGTTATCTGGGCATCACGTTGGTTGTTTCTTTTGCTGTGCAGAAGATCTTCAGTTCAATTAAATCCTGTTTGTCTACTTTTCTTTGCACTGCATTTGCTTTTGAAGTCTTAGTCATATTTCATTTGCTTAGACCAATGTCCAGAGGACATTTTTAGGCTGCCTTCAAGTATTTTTATACTTTTATTTTATACATTTAAGCATTGAATCCATAATCAGTTAATTTGTGTCTATGGTGGTATAAAATTCTCATTTTATTCTTGTACATAAGGCCATCAAATTTTCCCAGCATCACTTATTGAATGGAAGATTGTTTCTCCTGTGTATATTTTTCTCAGTTATTTCAAAGAACAGTGTTTTTTGTTTGTTTGTTTGTTTGTTTTAATTTGGCTTTATTTTTGACTCTCTACTTTTTTTTTTTTTTTTTTTTTACCAGTACCGTGCTGTCTTTCTTATTGTATTCATGTAGTATAATTTGAGGCCAGGCAATGTGGTGCTTCCAGCTTTGGTCTTTTTGCTTAGGATTGCTTTTGCTATTCAGACTTTTTTTTAATATGAATTTTAATATTTTTACCTAAATATGTAATAAATTATATTGGTTATTTGATATAAATAGTGTTGAATCTGCATAATTCTTTAGGCAATGTGTTAGTCCATTTTGCATTGCTATAAATTAATACTTGAGGCCAAGTGATTTAGAAAGAAAAGAGGCTTGCTTGGCTCGAAGCTCCGCAGGCTGTGTGAGAAGCATGGCACCAGCATCCACTTCTTGTGAGGGCCTCAGGAAGCTGACAATCACGGAGGAGGGCAAAGGGGGAGCAGGCCGTGTCACATGGTGAGAGGGGGACATGAGAGGGGAGGAGGGTCGCCAGACTCTTTTGAACAATCAGATCTCACAGTAGCTAATATGGCAAGAATACACTAAGTGCCATGGGGTGGTGACCAAGCCATTCCTGAAGGGTCTAATGCCATGACCCCAAACCTCCCAGGATGTGCCACCTCTAATGCTGAGGATCACGTTTCACCATGACATTTGGAGAAGAAAACATCTAAAGTATATCATTGTAGTCTTAGGCTCAAAGTTCTCATGTCCTTACATTGCAAAATATAATCATCTTTTTTCAATTATTCCGAAAATTCTTACATTGGTCAACCTCCAACTGAAATGTATAAAGTCTCATCTGAGTCTTCAGGCAATTTCCCTCCATCTGTGAGCTTGCAAATTAAAAAAAATACCAAAGTTGTTTATTTCAAGGTGCAATGGTCGTACAGACATTAGATAAGTTATTCCAATTCAAAAGGGATAAATTGGCGAAAGCAATGGCCATTAGGCCTACACAAATGAAACCCAGCAGGGAAGAGATTAAATCTTAAAGCTACAAAATAATCTCTCTTAAATTCATGTACTTCCACCAGGGCTCACTGAGTCAAGGGTTGGCTCCCAAAAACCTCAGGCAGGCCATCCCGGTGGCTTTGCTGGGCACAGTCCATGGGGCTGCCTTCAGTAGTGAGAATCAAGTGCTGGAAGCTTCTCCAAGCTGAGGGTGCAAGTTGCCCATGGCTCTACCATTCTGGGGTCTTCAGAGTTGTGGCCACATTTCCACAGCTGCACTAGGAGGTGCCCCAGTGTGGACTTTGAATGGGGGCTTCAGCACCGTCTTTCCCCATCCTTGGTACTGCCCTAGTAGAGGCTGTCTGTGGTGGCTGCACTCTTGCAGCAGGCTTCTTCCTGGACATGTGGCTCTCTCTACACATATGAAATCTAGGTAGAAGCTGCCCAGCCTCCTTCACTCTTGCATTTTGTCTACCTGTCAATATCCATTTATTCCATCATCATTTACTAAAAACAGAGGTTCCCCCCCATTGCTTTTTTATCAGCCTTGTCAAATATCAAATGGTTTAGGTGTGCAGCTTGACGTCTGTTTTCTGTGTTGTTGTATTGTTTTCTGCGTATCTGCTCTTGCACCAGTACCAAGCTGTTTTTTTCACTTTGACTTTACAGTGTGGTGTTAAGTCTGGTAGCATGTTGCCTCTGGCATTGTTCTTTTTGCTTAAGATTGCTTTGGCTATTCAGGGTCTTTCTCAGTTCCATACATATTTTAGAATATATATTTCTACACATATATTCTGTGTATAAATATGTAAGTACAGAATTGTAAATCTGGGAGGTTCCCTGGGGAAATGTGACAACGAGGCAGCCCCAGGCCATGGCAGGAAGCCAGCCCTTAGCAGCACCTGCACCTGCACCTGCCCCGAGACAGCCCCGTGCACAGCGTCCGGGCGCCCCCTGGTGGTCTCGGGGCCCCCTGCAGGAGGTTTGTGTCCGGGCTCACAGGGGCCTCCCCTCACTGTGTGTCTTTTGCACAGTAATACACGGCCGTGTCCTCGGCTCTCAGGCTGCTCATCTGCAGATACAGCGAGTTCTTGGCGTTGTCTCTGGAGATGGTGAATCGGCCCTTCACGGAGTCTGCGTAGCTTGTGCTACCCCCATTATAACTAATGTATGAGACCCACTCCAGACCCTTCCCTGGAGCCTGGCGGGCCCAGTGCATGCCATAGCTGCTGAAGGTGAATCCAGAGGCCACACAGGAGAGTCTCAGGGACCCCCCAGGCTGGACCAAGCCTCCCCCAGACTCCACCAGCTGCACCTCACACTGGACACCTGCAAACACAGAGACATCCTGGTCAGAAACTGCCACACATACCCACTGTTTCTCTCACTCATGTCCACACACACTCAGTCTCTCTAGTTTTCCATGAATCACCTTCTAAAATTGCAACAAGGAAAACCCAGCTCAGTCCCCACTCCATGCTGAGTCCTCTGTGTTCAGTGCTGATCAGCAGGTGGAAATGCCTTGGAACCCCAGGGCTAAGGCTCCTCTCTCAGAGCTGCAGGGTCAGGGCTGGGCTGGTTTTCATCAGTACAGGGAGGACCCTATTTGCATGTCTCCTACTATATAGCAAGCTGTAGGGTGGGACACTTGAGGAGGAGGCTGTGCCCAGAGAAGATGACAGCGTCCTGCAGGAGTTTGCTGACAATGATGGTATTCAGAACATACCCATTCTTTATGAAATTGTGCTGTGACAAACACTTTGTCCTGATCACCCTATTTCATGTTTAAATACTTGTGTAAACTACGTTCTGTAGGAGTCAATATTTTCTCCACTTACAGATGTGAAAGTGAACCCACACATGGAGGGGCTCTATATGCATGTAGGAGCTCATGTCTGGGATGAGTGGACCCCGGTATCTGGCCCTGTGTTCCTCATTACTGGCTCTGCCTGCTCCCTAAACCAACTCCAGCACATTCTGTATGTGCCTGCTGTGGTTTTAGGAACCCACTTTCTGTAATAAGAGCAAGTGTGATGTTGCTGCCCTCCAGCACTCACCTGAAAATATGGAGAAAACTAGGGCCCAGGCACATAATTTTCAGGTACTTCTGACATTTAACATATTATCTTTCAATTACTCTTTCCTTGTCTAAGTTTCCATTTGTTTGCTTGTAATATAGTTAATGATGATTAACTGAAATGTAATAAACTTCTCATATTAAAGTGTACAATTAATAAACATGATGTAACTGTAATCATTGTCAAGAGACTGGACAAGTGATTTCTTCTCAACATTTCCTCTTGTTCTGGTATCTTCCTCCTTCTCTCCCCTTTTCTTATTCTACCGTTTTCCCTGGCAATGACTTATCTTCTTTATATTATTTTAGATGAATTTTTATTTATCAGAATTTATAAAAATACAATAATATAGTATATATTCTTGTTTGTTTGGCTTATTTTACTCAACATAAATACTTAGATATTTTACCTTGTCATGTATATGGCATTTATTTATTATAAATAATGGGTAGCATTCCAGTGAGCAGGTTTACTGTAAATTGTTTTTATATTAAGCTGCTTTACAATATTTGCATTCTTTTACCACTCTGGGTCTTACCAAAAAAATCTACAAGTCAGAATCAAAATGTACATAGATGAGGAATATATTTTACTTATTTTTTTAAAACAACATCAACAATAACAGATAAACAGAGAAGATTGAAATTTGCAAAATTCCAAAGTACTTTAAATACTTGAAGTTTTAAGATAAATATGAAATCTGAATTTTAGGGAGAGGCAAGTTCTTGTAGAGAGTAAAAAAGCCATGGTGTGAGCTGAACTGGAGCAGAGTCTGGCATATAAAATGTAGGCTATTAGAAGAAAAACATAGGTATATATTGGATTGCTCCAATTTGAGTGTGGTAAACGTGTTGTGGTGTGAATTTCTCAGGGACCACATACTGAAGAGCTTTCCTATCCTCTTGAATCCATTTTCCAAACATGGGGACAGTCACAAAAATCTTTCTGTCCCAATGTGTCTATCTGGGAGAGAAAAGAAGCCCATACTGAAATGCATTCAGACCCACCTCCTTTATCCCCATTGCAGAAGAAATTAGTCAGCAGGGACAAGCCACCAAAACCAGCATCTTAAGGGCACTGGGGAAACCCCTTAAGAACTGAGATGGGATAAGAGGCCTTCACCTAACGTCCATTCAGAAGTATTTCCCCTCTATTTCTTATTTAATCAGAGTTTTAACCTGCAGGCCAGGTCAGCAAATCTGGAAGGTGATAACACCAGAATAGAATATTGAAGCTGTGGGAGGAAACAACTGGGGAAAACAAGAGGCCTCTACTCCAGGGAAAAGAACAAGAACACACACACCAACGTCACATCTGGAGGAAGCTCAGGAACACCTGAAAGCTCACTTCCAGACTCAAGGTCAAAATATGGACCGACGAATGGTCAGAAAATCTCCTTTCATTCTATTCCCTTCAACCAATTTCACAATTATCAGTTGAATGTAGCACTTTAACCCACCTGAAGGAGCTGAAACTGATTCTCTCGAGGAGAGAACAAGGTGGAGAGGCAAAGCCAAGCAGGAAAGCAAAACAAGGTGTCACTGGAGGATCTGAAGTCTCTGGTGGACACAGAACAGACTTCAACACTGATGTCCACTACAAAAGTAAATGTCAAATGTAGCCCTGAGAAGAGACACAGACGCTTCCACAATACAGGCCTGGCAAAGAAAAAATATGGTCAAATACAGGCAGAAAATGACTAAAATGAAATAATAAGCCAATATCAACTGTCCAACTTGTGTGGCTATCAACAATTATTACATACATTGATGAGAAATACCAAAGTTGTAATAAACAAGTGATCAACATGAGATTTGTAAATGATACGAATATTAGAACTGTTGAATTAAATAAGATATATAAAACTATAATAATTCATATATAAAATCTCTCTCAGAAACTATGGACACAATGCAGGACTAGATAGGGAACTGAAATATAAACATACTAAGAAGAAATCAAATAAAATGGAAATCCATAAGAAACCAAAAGCAATGCAGTATAAACATTGAGAAAGCTTTGGGCACACCCCTCAGTAGTGCTGGATCAGCTTTTAAGTGAAATCATGCACTTAAAATGTCGCTAGAAATTTCACAAAGTAAATTGCAAAGGAAAAGAGAGTGAAGAAAAAAACTAAACATTAATATCAAAAGTATACTATATTTTAAATCTAAAATAGGGAAATTATAAATACAGAGAAAGTATTTGAAAACATAATGGCTAAGATTGTTCCCAATTTTGTGAAAGACACTAAACTACAGATCCTAGAATCTCAGAGAACCCCAAGCAGATTAAACACAGACACAGACACACACACCACACATGCACATGGGCAGAGTGGTGCACAAGAAAAAGTTCATACAGCACATGCCACACACACATTTCCTCAACTTTGCTTTAAAATTACTTGCATTTATAGTATTAAATAGAAATCTAAAATTAAAATATATTATTTATGCATAAGTCTGTCTGTGTTTACCGTAATCAAATACACCATTAGGTGCAAATGAATGTAACTGTGTTGTTAGGAAATTCACTATTTCAAATAAAAATGATATTTATTTCATTTCACAGGAGGCTCTGTGTTGAATCATTTGTAATGCATGCCAATAAAACCCTTTTCAATTAAAAGGATATTTTTTAAGTTTTTCCGTAATAACTGTTTACATTTATGGGGCACAGTGTGATATTTCAATACACGTGAGCCATGTGGTATGACCAAATCAGAACAAGGAGCAAATTCATAAACTCGGACACTAACATTTTTTTGTGTGGGGGGCATACAAAATCCTCTCTTCTGGCTACTTGTAAACCTAAAATGTACAATACCTTGTTAACCTTAGTCACCGTAATGTGCTGTTGGACACCAGAGCATGTCCCTCCTGATCGCCTGTAATTGTGCATTTGTTAGCAAACCTCTTCTTATCTCCCAGTCTCCTTCCTTTCTTGGCATCTCATAACCCCTACTCTACTGATTACTTCCAGATTAACTTTTCTAAATTTCCACATAATACTGAATGAGGGCAGTATTTATTTTTCTGTGACTGGCTTGTTTCACTTAGTATGATGGTGTCCAGTTCCATGTATGCTGCTTGGAAAATGCAGTATTTATTTTTCTGTGACTGGCTTGTTTCACTCAATATGATGGTGTCCACTTCCATGCATGTTGCTTCAATTGGCAGAATTTCGCTTTCAGACTGAATAATATTTTGTTGTGTAAATATACCACATTTTTTTAAATTCATTCATTGTTGATGGACGAATATGTTAATTTCATATCTAAGCTATTTTGATTAGTGCTGCAATAAACATGGGTATACAGGTGTCTCTTCAATATTAGTTTTTTCTTTTAATTATTCAAATATGTACTCAGCAGTTTTATTAGTGAGTAATGTTGTAGCTCTGTTTTTTTCCCACGATAGCCTGGCTAATTTACATTTCCACCAGTGAACTATGAGAGTCTCCCTTTCTATGCATCCTAACCACCTTTTGTTTTGTTTTGTTTTTTTGTTTTTCTGATAACAGACTTTCTAGCAAAGATAAAATATGAAAAGATATCTCATAGCGAATTTGCATTTTCCTGAATATTAGTGATTTCTTGCAATATATGTATGGGTAAATATACAAATATATCTATCTATCAATCAATCTATCTATCATGTATCTATCTACCCTGTGCCTGTCTTCTTTTGAACAATGTTTATTCATGTTATTCACCCATTATTAACCACATTATTATTTGCAGTTTAGTTGGGTTTATTTTATATACTTGATAGTAATCCCTTGTCATACAAACAGTTTTCAAATATTGTCTATCATCTGCAGCTCTCTCCTCACTCAATTGTGTTCTTTACTGTGCAGGAGCTAAACTTTCTTGATAGAACCTGGACAGATGGGCTGAGGTGCTGTGGGACATCGGAGGGGAAGAGCTGGACCCAATACCCAGAACCCGGTCAGCTTGTACACACCCTGTGTTTTATGTCATTTCGACAGACGCAGAAGAGTTTTTTCAGGGCTTCTTGGGGGTAAGGAATTGAAGGGAGACTGATATAATTTATTAGGCAAATAAATAAAAATGACATACTTGTGCATATGTTCTTGTGAGTGGGGTTAGCTTGGCAGTGTGTCTTCATCCCCAGAAAAGAGAAGATTATGTCTGCTGTGAAATGAATGCATAAATTTTGATATATGTGGTTATTACTAATGACAACTTAGCCTGGATACTAGGTAGGGTATAATGCTAGCGGGATGTCATAGCAACAGAAAATGACGCATCACAGATTTACGTGAAATGGCTTTGAATATTACTAGTAGTGAACATGCCAAGAGAAATTAATAATCATAACCAGAAGAATAATTCATGACTTCCCATGGGATTCAGGCTGAGATGATACAAAATTTCAATTTTAATGGCTCGTTATCACCCTCATAAAATCATTCAGATTACAAGTGAAGAACAGGGTGTGATCTTACAGCAAGTTGAGGCTAAAATTTGAGGAGAGAGAAAGCCTGTGTTGGAATTGTGAGTAGTGGAAACCTGAACTTTGCAGAAAAGCAGCAGTGATCAGAGGCAGAGCTGAGTTCACTTGAGTTTAGCAGTGAATACAGTGAAATTCGGTTTCTCTGCCCTCATTCAGTTTTGCTCTCAAGACTCTTGTAAGCTCAGTTGTGGACATTGGGAATCTACCAGTACTCAATCATGGCAAGCAATTTTTCACGGAAAAAAATGAGGTAACAATTTGGTGTAATTAAATTTAGGCTATAAAAATTATTTATTGAAACCTCAATGTTACTGTCTAGTAATTTATGTTGTAAAATGTTCAGCCTCATCAATGTAGTCCTCTAGTCCTTTCAGGGATGAGTGTCCATGTGGGCACGTGGGGCAGTCTGGGAGTCTGTCCAGGATTTCCTGGTCCTTCAGAGGAAAATTGCAGAATCTTCTCCGCTCCTATTCCCATCAGTTTTCATATCTGGAGTGTGACCCCTGAGGATGTCATTGCCATGTCCCTGCATAGTAGGAGTTAAATGGGGAATGAAGCTGACATGCTGGGTTTGTCAGTGTAGAACTGGGCAAAGACGCTACCTGCATGCATGAACCATTCATTATCCAGGCCTGGAGCCTCTCATGTCTGGGCTTTCCATTTTATTATAGTGATTTTCTATGTTGTTTAGTCAGTAAAAACGTTCTTTTTAACTTTCTACTGAAATAGTCTTGCATAATAATCTAGAGGCATAAAGATTGAAAAATAACCAATTTGGATATGAACCCAAGTTTCAGGTGAGGTCATAGTTTGTTGTGAGTGTGAGACAGGGAGAAGCATGGCTGGAAACTGACCATGCTCATGAATGCTTCATGTTAATAGGGAGACCCTGTACACCCAGGAGATTCAGACACTCCCACTGAGAACCTCTACCTTATTAGTTATGAATCACACCTCAATAATAAAACTCTAGGTTAATAACTAAAATTGCTGTTATTAACATAAACCTTCCGTTAAAACATAGTCCTCTATCTGATGTAAAATCATTGAATTTCTCAGAACTTCCAATTTGTCAAACTAGAAAACAACATGTTTTAGGGTAGGGGATGGCTTTGGGATGCTTTGTAAACAAAAAGGCATCTTATATATTCTGGAACATCCACCAAAATGGCCAAGTTAGGGAGCTCTCAGAGCCACTCCTTTATCCCAGATTCTTGGCAAATATAAAGGTGGAAGTCAATGCAATAAGAGGTAACACTGAAGCTACGAAAATTGCCATAACAGCCTCATTTTAAAATAATGAGCTTTATACCTTTAACAATGTAAGAACTTAGAACTCACGTTAAATGTTTTTCTCCATGGGTAATGGTCTGTTTTATGGTATACTTGGCTGGACAATACTTTGTGGTTATTTGATAAAACACTAATCCAGGGGATGTTGTGAATTTTGTAATAGACATTATTAAAACTGTAATCAGTTGTGACTCTATGTTAGGCAGATTATCTCTGACAAACTGCTTGACCCTGATTCCGTCAGAGCAGAACTGGAGAAGGTAAAATTCATGGTGAATAAGTAGCTTCAGCTCTTTCTGAGACTTCCAGCCTGCACTTACTGATGCCAAGCCCTGAGGATATTGGATGTTTCCAGCCATCCCCGAAAATTGTCATACTGTACATGTCACAGGAAAGTGATGTGTCTATCTGCAGCTTGTCAAACCTAAATGTCAGACAGAAAAAGACTCTCCAATACCAAGTATTATTTACATGAAAATGAGCATTGCAATGGGAATACGCATGGGCATATTTAGGTTGGTAAAGAAAGACAAGCGTTTTAAAAGATAGCTGAGGAGGCTTTCATGAGTCGTACTGACAATTATCCTGTGGTAGGAGAATCAATAACAAGGGTGGAATCAGTTTCAGATTGGACAGGGAGTTGCAGGGTAAATATATTCACAAAATTAATTCTCTTATTGTTGTGGCAGCCTTTGTTCAAGGTTGTGGTTGTGCTGTGTATTTTTATGGTATTTCTTGTTATCAGAAATATGTCCATGAGAACCCTCTATTCATAACCAAATGCATCGTCACTTGTAAATATTATAACATAAGTGGCTCCATTTTGATTCTGACAATTTTCACACCCTCTTCCTCACACCGTTAGTGAAGAGCATTACTCTGTGAAAGTCTTCACGGAAGAGGATTAGTTCCATATCCACATTTAAATTTGTACATCCACATGTAATTATTTTGTTGCTTTGCAGAATCTTTATTAAAATCTAGTCCCACTTGTTTAATTCTGCTTTGTTTGTATGTGCTTTGAATGTAAAATCCAGAAAAAGGTTCTAATTGTGGGTTGAGAATGTTAACCAAACAAGCTTATCCTCTTCAGTTCCCACTGGCAACTTGCATTTCCAGATGAGTCTCCAGTTAACACAGTAGAGGATCCTGAGTGATGGGAGTGAAAAAACTCCCTCCAGCCTCTCCCACATGACTACAGAAGCCACAGCTTGAGCCCCACCTGAGCTCCAGGGAAAGGGATTCAGGCCTGGACCACAGGGAAATAACATCTTCCTTTTTCAGAAAGCAGGAAAAACAAATGGAAAAATAAGAACAGCACCTTAAAAAAGTAAATGAATTATGAATAAGACAAGCACCAGATCATTGTTGATGCTGATTTGTATATCTTAGCATCAGGAGAAGGGTCCAACATGAAACTTGTGAGGTTCCACATGACACTGACCCTGGCCCAGCCTCTCTATTGTCTGTGATCAGGATCCATAACGTCTGTTCTAGTCAGGGAATCTCACTGAGGTACCTGTGCTGGGTCTTATTGGAAAAGACTCACCAGGAAGCCCTGAGATTATTCAAGACTTTAATCCTGGTAAGCATGGTTGAGGAATTTTCATTCCTGAAAGCGTCATTCTGCATTTTGTGCCCATGAGAATAGGTTCTCTTATTAAAATAATTTCTTTCGAGTACATAGAGAAGACATTGTTAGGCACAGAATTCTAAACTTAGGGAGGTTCCCTAGGGAAACTGTCAGAAGAAGATGAAGTCTCACATCCTGACAAGAAATCAGCCTCCATCTGCACCTGCCTCTGGGGTTGACTCTGATCAGTGGGTCCTGAGCACCCCCTGCAGCTGATTCCCCCAGAGTTCCTGCAGGAGGTTTGTGTCCGGGCTCACGCTGACTTCCCCTCACTGTGTCTTTCACACAGTAATACACAGCCGTGTCCTCAGCTCTCAGGCTGTTCATTTGAAGGTATAGCATGTTCTTGGAATTGTCTCTGGAGATGGTGAATCGATCCTTCACGGAGTCTGCATAGTATTTCTTACTTCCATCATACCATATAACTGCCACCCACTCCAGCCCCTTCCCTGGAGCCTGGCGAACCCAGTTCATGCCATAGCTGCTGAAGGTGAATCCAGAGGCTGCACAGGAGAGTCTCAGGGACCCCCCAGGCTGGGCCAAGTCTCCCCCAGACTCCACCAGCTGCACCTCACACTGGACACCTGCAAACACAGAGACAGCATGATCAGAAACTGGCACATGTATCCACTGTTTCTCACTCACCTCAACTAACTCTCAATATCTCTAGTTCTCCATGAATCACCTCTTAAAATAGCAACAAGGAAAACCCAGCTCGGCCCAAACTTCATGGTGAGTCCTCTGTGTTCAGTGTTGATCACTGAATGGAACACCTCAGACTTCCAGTGCTGGGTCTCCTTTCTCAGAGCTGCAGGGTCACGGCTGGGCTGGTTTTCATCAGCAGAGAGTGGGCCCTATTTGCATGTCTCCCATTATATAGCAAGCTCTGAGGTTGGACATCTGAGGCAAGGGCAGGGTTCAGTGCAGATGAAGAGTCCTGGGGGAGATTGATAGTAATTCTATCATTCAGGATAATATAATTTTATATTATGTGATTGCGCCTTCATTAACATTCAGCTCTCGTAATCCTTTTTTATTCTTACATATTTACACAATACATTTAATGCAGGTTTCTATGTCATATTTTACAGAAGGCAATTTACATAGCAAACACAGCAGTTGTGCAGCGTATCTAAGAATACACATCTAAAAAATGTAGTCCTATTATCTGGGCCTGTGCTGTAAACACTGTGGTAGGCTGCTCCCCTGAGAACCTCCCGGGCCATGTGGACCATGTCTCGTGAAGGCTGCAGGATTCTGCATCTGTTATGACAACTTTCTCTAATGTACCTAAAATGTGTAGAGAGAACCACAGTTCATGTGTGTGCATCTTCAGAAGTCAGTCATTTTTCTTGTTGTCAATATTAGCCTTTGAAAAGACAGAAAAATTTAAATTTTCTCCATGTTGATTTAAATAGTGGTATCTTCTAACATTTCTACAAATGAATCATATAAAATTTACTTTTAATTCATTAGTTTCTTTCACTCAGCCCAATTCTTTGAGAATTTAGCCATGTTTAAATATGAATGAGGCAAGACTTGATTTCAAGCTGCATTATATTCCAGTATTATTTAATTATAAACCTGTAACAAAGTGTGATTTGTTCTCTCAGTTAACGGATTTCTATATAGAAAAGCAGCTATTCAGTTTGGGAATGTAATAAATGAGTAAACTATGATCTTATTTTGATCTCATTATCAACAAACCTAAATAACTACAAATAAAGAAAAATATCTTCAACATGTCTGAGCTGATATCACAGAGAAACAAACAAACCTGAAATCTGAGGAGAGAGAAGCCTGCAGAGTGAACCAGGATCCATATATTAGTGTACCTGGGGCAGATACGGCTGGATGGCATTTAAGGTAGGAACGGGCTGACTTGGAAACATTCAGAGTTGCTTGAGGATGCACGCGCCCACAGTGTTAGACTCTGAAGCTCCCAGTGAGGGCAGGCTTTTCCTACAGAATGATTAATAATTATTCTTGTTGTGCTTTATGCAAATAATCAGGTCAAATACATGACTAAAGTTTATTTTGCAAACAACTCAGTCCTATCGTGATTTATTTCTGACAAAAATCAGAACTGGAGAGAAAAATTATATTTCAAATATGTCATATATTCGTCTTTAAATTCTAATCTCTTCAGTTGTTTCAAGTATTTGCCTGCATTTTAGACTAACTGCTTATTCCTGAGAACCAAGCAATGATCTCTGGCTGCAGCTCAGAATAAACAAAAAGGGGATGGGTAATATAAAAAATCTGGATCAATATTTTCACTCTGAGCAATTTCCCTGCAAATCATGCCAGGTGATGGGAGTAAATAGGGTGCCCCTAACCCAGAGGTTTCTTTGCTTGGGAAAATTAGTCCAAGGGAGCTAACAAAAGCCAAGCCCCATGTACCCAAATCTTAGCAGGCATAATTGCAGCCGCCAGTTATCTGTACCTGTGAGCAGCCTTGGAATTTTCTTTCAAACTGTCATTGCCACCATGTTTGGTTTTGATACATGTCTTTTAATAACCCAATGTGTGTCTTCACATTTTCAGGCCATCACAATTTAAATGGTCACACAACTGGAGCCTGGGATAATGGCTCCCTTTTACTGGGTTCCCTTAGACAGGCCTCCAAGAGAGATCTTCCCCAAACATCATCCCCTGTCAGCTGGAAGCAGTTAAGATTGGTTTTAGTCTCTATTCTAAGGACAGTTAGACGCACTTCGTCAAAGAGGAAAATGATAGAGGTGGGAGGCAGAGAACTCTCCCAGGCAGATAGGAGAGGGTCCCATAGAATCTCCAACCCACCAAGGTCACTGTGCATAGGGGGCTTGCCTAAACATGCCTGCGGTGAAAATTGTTAAAGTTGCCTTTATCACTCTCCGATAAAATAGCCACACCTAATTATCTAGCTGCATGAAGATAAACAAAATAACTGGTTTGAAATTAGAACAAATTCCAAGTGAAGTCAAAGTTAGCTTATGGTTTATAATGTGACAGACAGGAGCATGCCTGAATACTAAGAATGTCTTCACATCTGTTTTATGTCATAATCAGGAAAGTAGTTTGTATATTCTTTAGGTAAGAGTCCCACTAAGAGCATTGATTAACATTATATATTGATGGATAAACCACAATGATAAAAGTAAAGATTATTAACCTGTAATTTATATTAAGAGCACAAAATTTTCTTTAGGATTTATTCTTCTATGTGTTGTGAAATCAACTGATAAAACATTGCACTTATTATAGCTTTTTAATAAACTAAACATAAGAATCACATACGTATGTTTCTAGATGGTGCACAACTTTGGAATTTTTTGTTTTGTTTTGTTTTTGAGATGGAGTCTTGCTGTGTTGCCCAGGCTGGAATACAGCGGCACAATCTTGGCTCACTGCAACCTCTGACTCCCAGGTTCAACCAGTCCTCCCACCTCAGCCTCCCAAGTAGCTAGGATTAAAAGTGTGCACCACCATGTTCAGCTAATTTTTGTATTTATAGTAGAGACAAGACCAGCATAGCCAATATGCTGAGGCTGGCCTTGCCATATTGGCCAGGCTGCTCTAGAATTCCTGACCTCAAGTGATCCGCTTACCAATTGATTGGCTTCTCAAAGTGTTAGGATTACAGGCATGAGCCACTGCGCCTGGCCTGGAATATTTTTACAAACAGAGAGGGTGCTTATGTATTCTGGAAATCCTATCAAAATGGACAACAAGGGAAGAAAGTTTCAGATAAATTTCTACCTACTAGAGAGCTGATTAATATCATTTTAAAGCAAATGCTAACACACAAATAAAAAGCTAACATGGAGCTAAGAGAACATAATAATTAAATACAGCAACTGCTCTAGCTCAATCTAGTTTATAATATCATCTACCCATGGAGGGCATTGTCATTATTCATATAAGACAGAATCAATCCCACTCACAATCTTCTGGGAATGTTAAAAAAATGGCACATCTAAATAAAAACCATCAAATTTCAACAAAATGTAAAACTGCCTTGGCCAAGGGTTCTCCCACTAGCACTATGGAATCATGGTCCACTCCTTGGGGTGCATCAGCTATTACTCTACAACTTGGTAGCTAAAAGGCACGTACATTTATAGGCTGAGCACTGACAGTGTTTCCTGTGTGAATCCACTCCAGGCATGAAGAGTTAAGGCTGCCTTTTTACTACATGTTTTCCACAGTCTCTTGTGATCTTCGGCAAGGAAATTGGAAGGAACATCAGCGACAAGTACTGCTGTTGAATCATATTGGAAGGAATCTTGCCAGAAACTTTTAACTCACTGAAGAAAACCTTCAGGCAGTTAATTATTGGGTTCATGTTTTACAACTGAAGAGGCAATTCATGCCAGATGCAGTGGATCATGCCTGTAATCACATTACTTTCAGAAGCAAAGTGAGGGAAATCCTCTGAGACCAGGCTATCAAAACAAACCTGGGCAACATAAAGAAATGTTATTTCTATGACAAAAATATTTTAAAGAAAAAGCAGAGGAAGAATGGTGTGCCTCTCTAGCTCTAGATATTCAGGAGGCTAAGATGGGTGGATTATGTGAATCAGGAGCTGAAATTTACAGTGACCTATGATGACACGACTGTACCCTGAACTGTTAAACAGAGTGAGAGCCTGTCTCTGAAACAAAAAAGAATCAATTAAGAATTCCACCCAACTGTCAAGCTGCTCAAATAGGAGATGTTAAGTTGAGCATCCTCATAGATTGTCTGGCTTTTCTGATGTTTTTAAGCAGGCTGCTGCCTTAAGACCTGCAGAATAAGCTTATTGTCCTTGATTGTGAGAAGTTTCTACCCACGACATTGAACCAGGACCCCTGTCTAAGTCCCCACCCCTTCTCCTTCTTCTCATTATTATTTGCTTACATTTCTAAGGTAATCTCATTTCTGTAGACCTGGGTGTTGTCCACTCATATCGAGCCCTTATATTCTGTCTTTTCCATTATTTTTATTCTTGCTTCATAGAATAATTTGTCACACATTTTTTGGTGCATGGCTGCTGATGACTTAAGGCTCACTCCTCCACCATCTCCATATTTGACATACAAGGTGAATCTCATTTGAAATCACAGGAGCTTCTTTATTCCATGCCAGTGGGAGTTTCAAACCATATAAACCCCTTTCTGAGAGGGAAGCCTCACTCTTTCCCCACCACTAAACCATTATAAAAACCCTGAGCCAGGTTCTTCTCCTCCTCTTTCAAGACGTTTTAGATTTTTCTGGGAGACCTGCCCTGCTCTCAGCAGATGTCTCTCGAGGGCACATCATCACCTTTTCCATATTCACTTGCTCTGAGTGTGTGACTTCATCAGACATGACATCTACACTAAATCTCAGTTGAGATCTCTTGGCTTTGCATGCTGTCAGCTACAACTGATGGTGTGAGCTTGGTGTCACTGTTTCTATCAATAGGTCCCACTGGATCCCAGAAACAACCCCAGGACAGAGCTGGACATGTGGTACAGATTGGTGTTGTGTCCCTGCCTACATTTCATCTCAAATTCTAATCCCACATGTCATGGAGGTGCCTGATGAGAGGTGACTGGATCATGGAGGCAGTTTCCCCGTGTTGTTCTCATGATGTTGACCAAGTTCTAACAACTTCAAGTGGAAATCTGAGAGATGTGCCCAGCCTCAGGGGGCTGCTTCTCCCTGCAGGGGACAGAACTAAGAGAATTGTGTGGGATTAGTCTGTATGGGGCTTCTTAAGAAGATAACAGGAGTGGGTGGCTCAAACTACAAATATTGATTTTCCTACAATTTTACAGTCTGAATGTCCAAGATCAAGGTGCCATCAGGGTTGGTTCTTGGTGAGGCTTCTTCCTGGCTTGCACAGGGCCACCTTCTAGTGCACCATGTCTCCACATGGCCCATCTCTGTGTGCACGTGAGAAGTGAGAGGTCTCTGGTGTCTCTTCCTCTTCTTATAAAGACAACAGGTCTATTGCATTAGGATCTCACACTTACGACCACATTTAACCTTAATTATATTGTTGAAATTCCTCTCTCCAATATAGATGCACCGGATTTAAGGTTTCAGCAAATAGGGCACAATTCGGCTGATGACACAGATCAAGAGATGGTGAGAATCTGTAGTATATATAAAAAGACGATGAAATGAGCCATTCAGGAACATGCAGGAAAGTCTCTAGCAATCGGTGAAACCTCAACAGTTAACAAGAAATTTGTCTTCCTCCTTTCTTTGCTGGCACAAGGATGTGAGGAAGCAGAACCACCGAGAATAAAGAAAGGAGCCCTGGACACAACTCAGGTGCTGGCAGGGAGGGAGCCCACTGAGCACATGAGGAAGCCCCGCCCTCCCTGCACCTGCTCGGGACCCGGCCTCGGGCTCTGCGGGCCCCGCGCGCCCCCTGCTGGTCCTGAGCAGCACCTGCGCCCGCCCCGCCGCCCTGCAGGGAGGTTTGTACCTGGGCTCACACCCACCTCCCCTCACTGTGTCTCGCACAGTAACACACGGCCGTGTCCGCCGCCCTGCAGGGAGGTTTGTGTCTGGGCTCACACTCACCTCCCCTCACTGTGTCTCGCTCAGTAATACACGGCCGTGTCCGCGGCGGCCACAGGGCTCAGCCTCAGGGAGAACTGGTTCTTGGACGGGTCTGCTGATAGGGTGACTCTACTCTTGAGGGATGGGTTGTAGAAGGCTCTCCCACTATGATAGATGTTCCCAATCCTCTCCAGCCCCTTGCCTGGAGGCTGGCTGATCCAGCTCCACCAGTAACCACTGCTGATGGAGTAACCAGAGACAGCGCAGGTGAGGGACAGGGTCTCCGAAGGCTTCACCAGTCCTGGGCCCGACTCCTGCAGCTGCACCTGGGACAGGACCCCTGTGAACATAGAGACACAGGGTGAGCCCTGGGCTCAGAGGCAGCGCCCACAAATTCGAATCCGCGCCCCTGAGACACTCACATCTGGGAGCTGCCACCAGGAGGAGGAAGAACCACAGGTGTTTCCTGCTCTTGCACGAGAGGTCCATGACTCTCAGGAAGCATTTCCCATGTGAGCAGGACCCTGAATTTAAGGAAACGTGTGGTGGTTTCCTGTGGGTGCCTAAGTGAGGACTTGCATGTGGGTGGTGCCTTTGTATGGAGCAGTGAAATGGGATGAGCGGGAGGCCCTAGACTTTCAGGCTGGCCCTGGGAGGAGGATGCTGGCTGTGCCCTCTGAGAACTCAGTTCTCTTCCTGGGGCCTCCTCCCCAAGCCCAGAGTCCTCTTCTTCCAGGTAGGGAGATGTGCTGAAGGAGCTGGTCTGGGAGATGAGTGTGATCATGGATCAAGGACAGATTGTGGAATAGGGTCAATACTGTTCTACCCTTAAATGACCCTGAAGATATGGCCTGACCTCTAAACATATTTGTGTGAAAAGATGTAGATTGGGGATTGCAATGACAATTTAAGACAAAAGCTATATAATAGATCAGCACTGGAGGATAGTCTCATCACTAAGATTAGTGCAATTACCTTTCCTATGATTCAGAGAGAATATCTGTGAGCCCTCCCCTCTGAGAGCACAGGAAACTCTGGTCCTTCCCTGACAGGTCACACCTGTGAAACATGGCTGGACAATGACACTCAAGCCCAGAGCTCTTCCCCACATATTTACCAATTCAGATCCATCTGTCTCTGAAAGACTTTCTCCTCCATTGAATTGCAAGGACATACCCTAAGGTGTGCCGTGTTGCAGCATGGGCATTTGACATTAGTTCAGTGAATTAAACAATCCACCTCCATGGATGTGGGTAACAGGAGAGTCATCAGAAGTTGGGTGTGTCTTAAAATCAGGACAAATCTGAGCTCTCTTCTTAGGAGCTGAGCAAACAAGCTGACCTTCTGTGAAACAACAGAGAAAAAGAGACAGACTTAACATCCAGAGCCAGGAGAGCTCCTTACCTACCAGGTGGTCTCTCGACCTTTTGTTTGAACAGATCCAGAAAGACCTCCATTCCCTGGCTCCTTTCTCACCCTCAGGAGAATTATGAACATGGAAGGGAATTGAGATACACTTTATTAACAGAAAACAATTCATAGGCTTGTAGACCTATATGCGGATATGTAGAGAGATGCTAGGATATGATCATACACATAATAGAAAGAATTATGGTTCATAGGAAGAAAAATGAAGAGCTTCTGAATTTGTAGGTATTGTTTACTACAAATGTGTCAGGTCACTAGATCATGTTATAATGCTAGAGGTAAAATTTCCCAATATTGTCATGGAAACAAAATGCAAAAGAGTTAAAGATTCAAGTGAGATTCCTTTGAAAATCACCAGTAATAAACAGACCAAAATAAATCAACCATTATGGAAAGAGTGGTCATTAAATAAAATAGTAAATTCCATGTTGATGTGAGAAGGACTTCCATCTGAAAACTCATTTTCACCTCTGTGAAGAGCTCAGAGTGCAGACTGAGAGCGTGAACTTAGGGCAAGTGGGGGATACATGTTTGAGGAGGATGCAGAGTCCTGGAGTCCTTGTGAGTCATTCAGAGAAGCAGCAGTGTGCCAGGGTGTATTGAGTCCTCCTGAGTAAGGAGGTGCTGAAGACACACCAGTTTCACTGCCCTCATTGTGCTTTATTCCTCAGACTCTCTTGGATGTCCAGATTTGAACACTTGTAGTGTTGATGGAAATCAACAAGACTAGGAACTTTTCAGTGAAGATGTAGTTAACAATCTGGGTTAATTAAATTTTGGTTTTGAAAATATTATTATCCGAAATGTCAAAGTCAGTTATCTATCAATTTATCTTTCTTTTTTATTTTACAGACAAAGACATGTTCTGTTGCCCAGGCTGGAATGCAGTGTCGTCTATTAATATTATAGCGTAAAAGTGATCAGCTCAATTCATGTAGTCATCTTATCTCCATCAAGGATTTAGGTCCCTCTGGCTGTGACATAGCTCTAGTCACAGAGGGAAGAGAGGTGGTTTGCTGAGTTGATGCTGCACTTCAGAGGAATTTAAACAACCCCTCACTTCACCCAGTCTATTTTTATAACTGTGCATGACCGTTGGTAATGCCACCACCATTTCGCACATAATGGGAGTTGACTGTGCCATGAAGGTAACAAGTAGATGTGCATTTAAAGCCTGGGTACATAAACTGCTGAATTAACAAAGCCTGAGGCCAATCACATTCTGGCATCTTGTTTAATTAGTTGTCAATTTATTTTCAGTTGGTTAGTTCAAGTTCCCATAATTCACTTTCTGCTGGAATAGTCACATACAATATTCTTGATATATTAAAATTGAAAAAAAAAACTAATTTGAAAACAAACCCGACTTCCAGGAGAGGTGAAAATTACTTTGTGGTGAACAGTGTGAAGGGTGAAGACATGGCTGAATACCGAGTTTGTGTTCACAAGCGTTTTATTTTGATTAGGGAAACTTGTATTCATCCCTTATATTTATTAGAAACTCCTATTGTGAACCTTGAACATACATAATTGGTTAATGGATCGCACAACAATGAAGCTGAAGGTTATTAAGCAGGAATTGCTATTACAACATTAGCTTTCCTTTAGAACACATTCCTCTACCTGATGTGAAATTAGCCCAGGTGTACTGATAAGTGCTTGTCAGTTAACCGAAGACCAGGAAACGGGCACACATATGTCTGGAACCGGGCGTGACTTTGGGATGCTTTGCAAACAAAGTGGCTTCTCACATATTCTGGAAAAAACATAAGAATGGGCTAGTTAAGGATCTCTTAGGAGCAACCATCTATCCCACATTCTTGGCTAATATAAAAGGGGAAGTCAATGCTAAATGAGGTAATATGGAAGTTAAGGAAACTGCTGTACCACAGCCTCAGCTCAGCACAGCAGCCTCCTCTCTCAGGGTTTCTGACACTCTCAGGATATGGGTTGTCACACTGTGTTTCTCGCACAGTAATACACGGCCGTGTCCTCAGCCTTCAGGCTGCTGATCTGCAGATATGCCGTGCTGACCGAGGTGTCCATGGAGAAGACAAACCGTCCTGTGAAGCCCTGGGCATACGTTGGCTTCTCAGTGTTGGTGTTGATCCAGCCCATCCACTCAAGCCCTTGTCCAGGGACCTGTCGCATCCAGTTTATAGCATAGCTACTGAAGGTGTAACCAGAAGCCTTGCAGGAGACCCTCACCGATGCCCCAGGCTGCTTCAGCTCTGGCCCAGACTGCACCAGCTGCACCTGGGAGTGGACACCTGTGGAAAGGAGACAGGAGTGGGTGAAGTTTCTCTTTACTGGACTGATTTCTCCCTCAGCCCTGGGACTGGGGAGCCCCAAACCTGTAGCTGCTGCCACCAAGAAGAGGATCCTCCAGGTCCAGTCCATGGTGAGGAGCTGTGCTTGAGGGGCTTCCCTGAGGAGGGGTGTGGGTCATTGGGTGATTCTCTCAGGACACAGAGATCTCTATATTCACCTCAGTTATTTGCATATTCATGAAGTATGATATTTAATAGCCCAATTCCTGACCCAGTCTGAGAAACAGCAAATACATGACACATGGACAACACAATTGTAGAAGCTGAGGGTTCAAGCTGTAATCCTGTGAGAATCCATGTGTCCCCGACACATCCCGGAACTCTGTGTTGACAGAGCTTCCCCCACTGGGGAACAGGCTCCCGCAGGACAGGCACCTCACTTTGAACCCACATTTGAGTGTCTCAGGGGCTACTTGAACCATTTCTAGACCTTGATATGCGAAAGTGTTATTTTGGGAATGAGTGCATTATTCCAAACTGGCACTTATAAATAAGAAAGAATCTCTTCCTGACCTCCAGCTGCTTACTGTTAAGCTATCTAGCCGAGTTTGAAACCCCCATTGTAAAAGTAGGTCTCATTACAACATCCAGTTTGACAAATATTCACAATTGAACAGGATATTTATATGAACATCAGCAGTCCTTGTGAAATACTTATTTTAGATATTTTTAAAGGAAACCCCAGGACCTGAGAGGAAACCCCTCCCCAGCCTCCTATCCTGTGCACCTGCTCTGGGGCAGGAGCCTGTGCTGGGTGTGTTCTGAGCGCCCCCTGCAGCCCAGCCCCCATCCTGCAAGGAGGTGACACGGTATATTTCTACCAGTCTCTCTAGCCCAGTATAAAGTGTCTGTGCCCAGGCCCAGAATTCTCCTTTAGTGACACCATTTCACACACCATCTTTTGAAATACTGAATTGGCCTTAGGAAACCTAGGAAATACTGCAGCGTAACCCTAAGAAAAGCTCTCATTCATCACCAGGGAGACCTTTCCTAGAGCTCAAGAGGCACTGAATCACTGGACACATGGTGAATTCAAAAACTCTTCAGGATTTTGGGGGAGAGTCTTATTTCCTTTAGGGTTCTGCAGTTGATTCTTGAACCTGAGAATACCTACAAGTTCAGGTGCATACACACACACACACGCACACACACACACACGTTGTAGCTAATTTTTACATTAATTGGTCCCATGTTTACCTTTTTTCTGGTATCCATCTCATGAGAAGCACTCCCTACACTGACAGTAAGGCTGAGTATGTGTCTACTTTCTTCAAACAGATGTAAAGAAAACAGAATGCCCTTGGGAAGTGCATGCACACTGAATTCACCTGGTCTCACTTTGGAATCCTGCAGATGCCCATGAAAATGAAATTTGAGGCCAATGAGGGTGAAATCAGTTTATTGTTACTGAAGTTGCTGGTGTCAGCAGCTTCAAATTTGTCTATTTTCCTTAACATTTATTTTTTTATTTTCCTCCTTAGATACAGTTTGTACCTTGGCACATTCTCATATTTAATTCATAATGACTAACCTGGTGAGAATGTAATGTGGAACACAGAAGCATTCCATGTGCTTACAGTCACATTTTAATGCTGTAATGGTCTTCTTTCTCTGTGCTGTGCTGTATACAAGAAGTCTCCAGGTGTGACGCTGATTTTTGTTCTCTTCTGGTCAGAATATCAAAGTAAAATTTTCTTAAATGTGCCCCTACTGTCTAATTTTACTCATTTTCATGATAAAGTTAGGCTGCTGGTATGGGCTTGTAAGGGGATGGATTA